CGGATGCCGGCATCGGCCGGAGGAGATGGTCAGGGACACTGCAGGGGGGACATCACAGGAGCGAAGGACAAGGTAAGTGCTTGAGGGAATCCCTAAGCAATGCTGCAGGGTATTCCCGAGTGTAGCTCGGGGTTACCGCTTCTGGTACTGAAAGTTAACCCTGGGCTACACTCAGGAATAGAGCCAGGGGGGTAATGTGTGTACCAGGCTTTATGAACTAAGTGGTTTAGAACAAAGAAAGAGATAAACAATTGGACTTTAATTGGTGCTTGTGCTGGTATGCCAAGATAGAGATTTTGGATAGAGTAGAGCAGTGTTTTTCAACCTTTTTTCAGTCAAGGCACCCTTTAAAATTATGAACAGTCCCGAGGCAACCTTTAAATTCTGGATAGTCTTGAGGCACCCCATTCTAAAACAGGGTACCTCAAGACTGTCCATACTTTTAAAAGGGCACCCCATTCTAAAATGCGAAAAACTATTCTAAAAGTTTTATATAACGCAGCAACATCCACATACTGTATGTAGGACACCCAAAATTAGAGATGATTTATTCTTCCAAAGCATATACACTTTTTCGCACTGGTACTAAGTAGTATTTCAGTGTTTTTCTACTCTCTCAGTTTTTCTCCATCACTGAGCTAATGTGATCCCAGCACTGCTGGAGAGAGGCAGGGGAGGGTCAAAGGAGGCTAGAATGTCATAATGGTGAACAATGAAAACCTGTGGCTTTGTGTACATAAAAGGTAGGCTGGTTGAGAAAGGCTGGAGTAGAGGATAGTTAAACACCTGTCAAATGACTTTCTGTGTCCTTTTGCAGAGATTTCTCTCTTTACTTGCTGTCCTGGAGACACAACAGAAAATGGGAGGAATATTTTTAAAATGAAGTTTCTTCTAGGAAAGTTGTCACCAAAACATGTGTCTTTCTATTCCTGCTCTTTTGACGAATGTAACATTATAGAATCCTGGTCAATCTCTGTCTCAGAGATAATAGTCACCAGAACATACAAAAGGTGAGCAAGTCTCCCCAACAGGGGAAGGACAGCAACAAAAAACATGTGAGTGATTCTAATCCTTCCATACTGTTTCCAAAACTAAAATCAAAACATTGAGATTTAGATAAATATTTAAGCATTATGTCTGTTACTTTTACTGTAAAGCCCACTGACTTTTTGAGCCCATTTATTAAGAGGAGTTAAACTACAGGTACTACTACTACGAGCTTGCTGAAATTGTGAACATGGATTGAAACATAATCAGGTTTAAAAAGGGTTAAAATGACTGGATGTAATTACCAGTAAATATGTTTCCCTAAAAAGTATCTATGGTCAAAAATGTATAATCATATATTCATTCCTACATTGTATTTTTAGTAGTTCTAGCCTACTGCTAAACTGAATGATTTTGAGATTAATACATTTACATTGTGTAAATCCCACACATTTATTTCTTGGAATTCTGTGGCACAAATTAAAAGCACCCTGTGATTAGGCAATGCTGCATCACAGAATTCACTTGGCTTGCCTTCTGAACTACAGAGGTGCTGAGAGGATGGCTTTATTGAGGTGGAGTCAGTACAGCAATCACTGCTTGTTGGCAGCAAGGTACCATGGGATACAGTATGTAGTTCTTAGAAATGGGAAGTAAATAGCAGAGAAACTGCAAAGCATGTGGGGTTTGACGCTAGAACTGGAACCCAAGTTGTGTATACTGGGGAATATGGGAAACCATGGAATGTTTTATTCTACACAACTGGCAGTGCAGACATGTCTATATCTGGTCAGAACATTGATTGCCCAGAGGTGGATATTCCTGGTGCTTCCTAGCTGTGAAGATTGGTTAAAACTGGTGGACAGGACGATAATAAGGGAAAAAAAATAATATATGAAATGAGGGGTTGTGTAGGAAAGTTTGAAGAGATATGGAGACCATGGAATGTATCCCCTAGCTTGGTATTAAGCCATATAGATAATCAATGAAGAGGTATAATAATGTATTCTATTTATTGATGTCTGTGAGGGTGGGAGTGGGTGGGGTTGAACTGTGGGGATTTTTTTTTCAGGTTGGGACAAGAAAATGTAGATATGCAATTCTTGATATAATGTATAATCTTTTTGATTAATAAAAATGTTTTGATTCAAAGAACTTTGTTTGGTGCACAGTGGGTTACATGTTGCATAACCACAGAGAAGTGAATATCTATGTAACAGATGTGAGCATATTACCTTTTTGGATGCAAGTAGTGGTTTAGACATAGAGCAGTGGTCTCCAAACTTTCTAAACACCCCACCTTTGGTGTTAGTGAGAGGAATTGTGCCCCATCACTAGTGGAAAGAACTGTGTCCCATCATTGGTTTCATTTGGAGGAATTGTGCCTCTTTGTTGCTGTCAGTGGGGGAAAATACACCCCATTGTTGGTGTCAGAGGATGAAACATTGCCCCAAGGGCAGGATAAAATCAGGCGAAGGGCTGCATCCAGCCCCCGGGCAACAGTTTAGAGACCACTGATATAAAGGGTGGATAGGTGTGTCAGAATCATCACGTGATGCACAGTAACCAATAGCTTTCGGTACAAGGAAGGCCAGACCGTCATCTGAACATTCAAATTTGCAAGTTGACTTAAGATGAAGGCAAATGCATACTTAACCAAACATGTGCTCCCCCTTAACAGCTGAGAAAGCATGGTATGTATTTTGAAGATTTACCTTTTGCCACATATTTTTACAAAATAAATAATTTTTTTTTCCCACAAAATTGTAATTTTAACAAGATATTTCTCACACACAGCACAGGCATACTCAACCCCTTCATGACAAAGGTAAAACAAATTTTGACGCCTGAACACAGTTTTGCAACTTTGGCATATATTAGTAAAACGGTACATATCATTGCAACTACTTTGTATATCAAGGTGAATTATATCTTGATTTTTTTCAGGACAAATTAGTCTTTTATTTGGTGGCAAATAGCAATGAATATCTCCTGTTTTTTTTTAATAATTATCAATGAAAAACTGGCAAAAAGTAGTAAAAACAAAATAATTTTTAAAAATGCAGCTGTATATTACAATGACCTACCACCAGAGAACAAACCAAAATTAATTCTAATGAGAAAAGAAGTCTAAGCTGCCTCACTATTTAAACCATGTTTATTACAAAAGTACAAAGAAACCAGGTATCCATCCAGCAGACTACTGGGGAATAAAGGGAACCCACTAACGTGTTTCATGTTCATGCTGTACTAGTACTTACTCATAGCAGCTGTAAATTCTCCTACTCCTAATGATAACATTAAAACCACATATTAATGTATATATTATTTGTTGTTTGATCTAGTTATTTTATCCTTATTTTTACTATTACTTTTTACACACACATTTTTATTTACAATTTTTTCCTCTAGCGAGGAAAAAAAGATATGCTGTTGTATCTTTTTCTCCATTCAAGAGGAGAAAAAACACAGGGTTGTAAAGTGATTGATAACTGTGATAGCCAATCATAGGCTACCACAACAATCAGGTGAAAGAGAACCAGTCCTCTCAGTTACTGATCCAGAGCTGTGAAACCTCAGTCTCTGTGCTGTGTGTGCACTGTGCATCACACTCTCAGCACAATCACAGTGGTGCATATGTGTGGCCCCACAAGTAAAACCCACTTCTGCAACCCCACATACCGGGGTTGGACAAAATTATGGAAATACCAAGTAAAAGAACAAAAGTCGTTACCTGATATGGTGTTGTACTGCCTTTGGCATCCAAGACAACCTGAATTCTCTTGGGGATTGGCAAATATAAGTCTTGGATGGAAGATAATGGAATCTGATACCACTCTTCAGCTAAAAATCATGCCAGTTTTCACAGAGATGCCGGAGGCAGAATACAAGCAGGGTTGGACTGACCATTTGGAAACTTGGGCACTGCCCGAGGGCCCAGGGTCAGAAGGGGGCCCCATGAGATGCCCCTGGTACCTTTTTCATAGGCTTTTTTGAGTTTGGACAAGGACACAGGGGCCCCATGATCCCCTATTGCCCAGGGGCCCCATGAGTTGTCAGTCCGCCCCTGAATACAAGCCCAAACCTTGTTTTCCAAAATTGACCATAATGGCTCTATGATATTGAGGTCCAGCAACCACAGCACCCCTGGAAGGTACGAGACTTCGTCTGTGTGCTTGTCAAACCACATTTTGATAACACCAGCTGTGTGAATCATAGAATTATTTTCATATTGCCTTGCTACATAGAGTGGTCCGAACTCCAAGGACCATCTTTTCAATGGTTAAGGTTGCAGTCATGCACTTCTGTAATCAGACACTGGCTATAGTCTGACACTGGCTATGATAAGGCACTGGGTGTAATCTGACAATGGCTGTAATAAGGCACTGGATGTAATCTGGCACTAGCTGTAATTTGGCACTGGCTTCAATCAAGTGGTGGTGGCTTTAATTAAGCACTGACTGTAATCAGACAGTAACTGTAATTAGGCACAAGCTATAATTTGGCACTGGCTGTAATCTAGTGCTGGTTGCAATCAGGTAAGGGGCACTGTGATCAGGTGTATAGGGGGAATATGATTAGTTGGGGGCATTGGGGCACTATAGGGTATCATGTAGGGGCACTACGAATTAAACACTAAAACACTGGCTGCGATGAGCAGTTACGTAGCTCTCCCCAACAATTCTGTGTGTATGAAAGGATTGGGTGCACTGGCTGCTAATTTCCACCAATGTTTACCTTTGTGATCATAGTGATTGTTATTGGCACTGTGATTCTAACTGTCATTAGCACTTTGCCATTGACAAGTGTGATCAAAGGCATTGTTTAAAAAAATCACCATACATAGACCATGAAACACCTCATACATGCAGTGCAACAGCTACCTCTGCCACACAAGAGACACATGGACTCCTAATGGTCCTTTTTAATAATTCAGGTGACCACTCTAACCATCTGGAGAATTTCCCATTGAACTGGACAGATCAAGTACAGCTTGGGTGATGGACAACTAGCGGCGGACTGACAACCCATGGGGCCCCCGGGCAATAGGAGATCATGGGGCCTCCGTGTCCCTGCCCACACTCAAGCCTCATCAAGATATTATGGGCAAGTTGACAAGGACTATTAGACCCCCAATGTCTCTCACTAAGTGCTATTCCCTATATATAACACTAATATTTGTACACTGATATCTGTACACTGACTACTATTCTTTATATATAGAACACTGATATCTGTACACTGACTGCTATTCCTTATATATATAGAACACTGATATGTGTACACTGACTGCTTTTCCTTATATATAGAACATTGATATGTGTACACTGACTGCTATTCCCTATATATAACACTGGTATCGGTACACTGAGATCTATACATTGACTATTCCTTATATATAGAACACTGATATCTGTACACTGACTGCTATTCTTTATATATAGAACACTGATATGTGGATATGTGTACAGTGACTGCTATTCTCTATATATCACTGGTATCGGTACAGTGAGATCTATACACTGACAGCTATTCCTTATATATAGAACACTGATATGTGTACACTGACTGCTATTCCCTATACATAGAACACTGACATCTGTACACTGACTGCTATTCCCTATATATAACACTGATATCTGTACACTGACTGCTATTCTCTCTATATAACATTGATATCTGTACACTGATATCTGTACACTGATTGCTATTCCTTATATATAGAACACTGATATCTGTACACTGACTGATATTCCTTATATATAGAACACTGATATCTGTACACTGACTGCTATTCCCTATAAATAACACGGATGTCTGTACACTGACTGCTATTCCCTGTGGCACTCAGTGTACAGATGTCAGTGATATATATAGGGAAAGGCACTCAGTGTACAGATATCAGTGTTATACATAGGAAATAACGCTAAGTGCACAGATACCTGTGTTATATATAGGAAGCAGCAGTCAGTGTACAGATATCAGTGTTATATATAGGGAACAGCAGTCAGTGTACACATACCAGTGTCACATATAGGGGATAGCAGTCAGTGTATAGATATCAGTGTTATATAGCACAAATATCTGTACACTGACTGCTATTCCCTATATAGAACACTGATATCTGTACACTGACTGATATTCCCTATATATAACATTGATTGCTGTACACATATCAGCATTATATATAGAGAATAGCAGTCAGTGTACAGATATCAGTGTTATATTACACTGATATCTGTACACTGACTGCTATTCTCCATATAGAACACTGATATCTCTACACTGACTGCTATTCCCTATAAATAATATGAATGTCTGTACACTGACTTCCATTCCTTATATAAAACACTGATATCTGAACACTGAGTGGTACTCAGTGTACAGGTGTCAGTGATATACTGTATATAGGGAAAGGCACTCAATGTACAGATATCAGTGTTATATATAGGGAATAACACTAAGTGTACAGATACCTGTGTCATATATAGCGAACAGCAGTTAGTGTACACAGATCAGTGTTACATATAGGGGATAGCAGTCAATGTACAGATATCAGTGTTATATAAGACAGATATCTGTACACTGACTGCTATTCCCTTTATAGAACACTGATATTTGTACACTGACTGCTATTCCCTATATATAACACTGATATCTGTACACTGCCTGTTATTCTCCATATATAACACTGATACCTGTACACTGACTGCTATTCCTTATATATAGAACCGGGGGCGGACTGACCATTTGGAAACTCGGGCACTGCCCGAGGGCCCGGGGTCAGTAGGGGGCCCCATGAGATGCCCTTGGTACCTTTTTCATAGGCTTTTTTGAGTTTGGGCAAGGACACAGGGGCCCCATGATCCCCTATTGCCCGGGGGCCCCATGAGTTGTCAGTCCGGCCCTGTATAGAACACTGATATCTGTACACTTACTGATATTCCCTATATAAAACACTGATATTTAAACACTGAGTGGCACTCAGTGTACAGATATCAGTTTTATATTTAGGGAATAACACTATTTGTACAGATACCTGTGTTATATATAGGGAACAGCAGTCAGTGTACAGATATCAGAGTTATATATAGGGAACAGCAGTCAGTGTACACATTTCAGTGTTACATATAGGGGGCAGCAGTCAGTGTACATATATCAGTGTTATATAACACTGATACCTGTACACTGACTGCTATCCCCTATATGTAACACTGATATGTGTACACTGACTGCTGTTCCCTATATATAACTCTGATATCTGTACACTTACTGATATTCCCTATATAAAACACTGATATTTAAACACTGAGTGGCACTCAGTGTACAGATATCAGTTTTATATTTAGGGAATAACACTATTTGTACAGATACCTGTGTTATATATAGGGAACAGCAGTCAGTGTACAGATATCAGAGTTATATATAGGGAACAGCAGTCAGTGTACACATTTCAGTGTTACATATAGGGGGCAGCAGTCAGTGTACACATATCAGTGTTATATAACACTGATACCTGTACACTGACTGCTATCCCCTATATGTAACACTGATATGTGTACACTGACTGCTGCTCCCTATATATAACACTGATATCTGTCAACAGATCCAACAGATGCCAGAAACCAACGCTCAAATCTTCTTGCTGCCTTGAAAACACGGAATCCAGCACTCGCTGAGGTGCTAGATACTAGCAGAAAAGAACAAAACAGGGCGCACTCTCCTTGTACATTACCGTGATAGTAAGAAATTTATTATAAAATTACAAATGCATACTCACAAACCAAAAAGGTCATAAAAACAGAGACAAGGAGTCAAAGATGCCAATCGTGGACAGCAGAAGTCCTTGGGTAAAAGTGCTAATGCATTTTGAGAGTTGAACTCCCTTCCTCAGAGCAATGAGTGCCTTTCCCTATATATGACTGACATCTGTACACTGATATCCGTGTGCACTTAGTGTACATATAAATCAGGGTTATTAGGCATAGGGTCAGGATAAAAAATAGCACCTGGCATGGACACTGGGCAGCACAGTACAACACTCAGCCTGACTGGTATATAGACATATTAAGCTGCACCTTGGGGTTACACACTGACCTGCTGCACACGAGGTAGGTTGCCAGCAGCTCAGCGACGACTCCGCTCTCCACTGTACCGTCTGCCCACCCCTTCCAGCTCTGCAAGTTCAGCATCCGTGGAAGGGATGTGGACCTGCCTCTCTGCTGAATCCCCCAAGAGGAGACATGGCCAGAGCACCTGCTGCTGCCCCATCCACCATCACTCTCTAATCCCAGGCCAGCATGAGCCCTCTCCTATAGCTGCATGAACCGCTGGCTTGGATTCCCAATGCGCACTGACCCCTCGAGGCTTGCTTAAACCTCCTTTCTGCACAGAAGCTGTGGGCACATCCAAGGGGCGGACCAACCCTCTCATGGGGCCCTTTACTGACCCTGGGCCCTTGGGCAATTCCAAAATGCCCAAATGGGCAGTCCGCCCTTGTGGACAACACATAGCAGAAATAACAAACTGCTGTCATAACCATATATGAATTTTGAGCATCATTGATTTACATTCCTGCCACATTGATCTAACTCTGTATTCTAAAACTAATGCTGTAGCATAAGTGTGTAGCACTACCCTTGTAAGGTCCACTGGGTTTGTTTGAGTCCCCCTACGCTCTGAACAGCCAGGCAACACACATTTTTCCACACCTGTAATTTTAGAGTCAGTAAAACAGTCTTTGAACTTGGTTTTATGGTTTGTATTAGGGGTTAAGAACTTGGATGGGGTTTAGGGGTTTATGGGATGCCCAAGAAACTGTAGAACTTGAGGACAACTTCTTAGCAACTATGTATAAAAATGTGGATTAGCAACCGTCTCTATTAAGCAGCTCTAACACCCCTTTGGTGTACCTCCTGGATGATTCCTCCTCTTCACCCAGCTGCACTGAGGGTATTCCCTGAGCAAGGGGGCCCAAGAACTTACAATGAAGTAGTCCCAGATAAGAACTAGTTGGGTTTTGCACCTAACCGCCCTCTCCCCTTATCTGGCTCAGGGGCTGTAGGAGTTCTCACACTGTCCTATCATTGTGGTGGGTTGGTAGCTGCTTTCATGCCTTTCGCTGGGCTGGCAACTCCCCTTTTGCTCAGGATGTCTTACTTAGGAGACTTTGGGCAATGGAGATCCTCCTGTCCAGCAACCAGCCTGTAGGTAGGCTCCCCTCTCTGGGGCCCCTTCACAAGCTCCTCACTCCAGCCTCAATCCTCACTCAATCCATACTCGACCCAACTCCCCCCTATCCCTAGACTCTGTCAAATTTGAGGGTTGCCCTGGTCACCATGCCCAGCCTCCTGCCAGGGGATTAACCAAGGTCCCTCAATCATGCAGATCTGGGGCTCCTCCCATCCTCCTACAAAAGGTTCTCCAGTTTCTGGAGAGGTGGCAGGGCTTCAGAAGCCCTGACCTGTAGAACCTCCCAACCTGCACTGAGGTGAACTCCTGCCTCACTCACAGGCTGACTCATCCCAGGCTGCTACTCAGTCTCTGCCTAAAAAAAAGAAAACAAACAAACATCCTACCTAGCTAACCTGGAGGGCATTGCAAGTGGAATATATTTTTAGCATGGTAATGCATTATGGATTGCAGGAGATATGGATATAAGGAATAGTGACAGTCTGAATACCCCCCTGTTCGGTTCACGGTCGAAGATTCGAACCTAATGAATATCAGTTGCAAACTTCACACAGGGACAATTAACTAAGCAGTATCCTACCGCATCTGAGTATGCGGTAAGATACCGCACAGCTACTAAAATACTGCATGAGTTATATTATTAAGTCATGCTGTATTTTAGTAGTAAAAATATTCTGTAATGTTTCAGCTGTGAGCGGGGTCATAAAGAATTGCTGGCATTGCCCAGCAATTAAAACATTTTTTTTTAAACAAGGCCCCCCTTCCCCATCCATACCAAGCCTTCGGGTCTTGTATGGATTTTGAGGGGAACCTCCAACACCAAAATTTTAATAAAAATGAATACCAGATCTTTATCCAAGCAGCATACAGCCTGGTAGGTCAGGAAAGGGGGCAGACGAGTTAGCACCCCCCCTGAAATATACCAGGCCATATGCCCTCAATATGAGTGGGTGCTTTGGGGCAGGGGGGCTCCCCCTCAAAGCACCTTGTCCCCATGTTGATGGGGATATGGGCCTCTTCCCCATATACCATTGCTGGTGATTGTGGGGGTCTGTGGGCAGGGGACCCCCAGATTCCAGCCCCCCCTCATGTGAATGAGTATAGGGTACATGGTACCTGTACTCATTCACAAAAAAAAAAGTGTAGTGTAAAAAATGACAGTAGACAGTCTTTGACAAGTCCTTAATAAAAACAAAAATTTAAAAACGACCCGAAAAATGAAAAAAAAAAACAAAAACACGCTCTCAGTGTTGGCTCCCGCCTTCTGACAGCTGCGCCACAATGACAGTTCTTAAATGCTGTGATGACATCACATGGAGGCGGGGCCAACCCACCCCCTCACCCCCTTAAACCCACCCACTCACCCCCTTGTGACACCATTGTGCGTTGTAATTGGCCGAAGAATTGCGTATTCCTTTGGCCAATCACAATGCACTGTCAGGGTGTAAGCCGTGTACCGGGGTGGGCTCCCCAGGATATAGTGAAGTCACGAACGAGGAAAGCAACCCCAACACCAGCTTTTTCCACAACAGAATTTTATTTAGATGTGGCAAATAAACACAACCACAAATGCTGGGAACATACAATAAATTTGCATACACCCAGCCCAAAGGCTGAGACCCTTGTGCTGCACAGCACGGCGCCTTCTGATGGATGAAGGTAGAAAGTGTAGTAATTTACCTACTGGCGGGCACAACTAAGCTGCCACACCTTACCCGTTATTTCCCTAAAAGAGCAGGAATCAGTGTATGGGTGTATGGTATGGGCTAGCCTGTGGTGCAGCACAACAGCTTACAATCTTACACAAATCTACAGTATTCCCCCTCCCATAACTGGTCCTGTAGCACGTGCCTGAGTATTCCTTCTAAGGAAAACGCCAGTCTGGCTTGAGTTTGTGGGATTCTATCAGCTCTCCAATGTGAAATGTCACTTTAAGTTATGGAGTCCTTCCAATGATCAGTAACAACACTTGTGGCCTGACACAAACAGAGACCTTAACTAACTAACTATAGGTCTGGTCTCAGTCTATAGGCGCCAACACTGAAATGAGGTGCGTGCACGATCTTACCGACCCGGATCTGCTTTGCATCCGCTGGTGACTCTGAACAGAACAAATGTCTCTCCAACAAGCATGCGATATCGCAGTATATGTTGCTTTGTTCTTCTGCTCTCATCAGCATTCCTGGCAGCAATCTTCCTTTCTCTGAACAGGATCAGGGTCTTGGACACGATCAGCTTCACTTAGCTGCAGCTCTGGTTACAGAGGGATGCACTCACACCTGGATGTCATCAGATTCTCAGCTCACACGGCCCCTTCATTCACCATCGTTCAAAACATGGCTGCAGTCTCCTCTTCCTGTTCACTAAAACTCCGTGTGAAAACCCCACCTCTTCTTGAATATAGAAATATCTATGCAGTCTGAGGCTGTTAGAAAAACAGTGACATCTTGTGGCTAAACCACAGAATGTAACTCCAGAATGTTTAATTTACTCCACACAATCAGTATTCAAACAATGAGAGCTGTTTCCCCATCTCACATGGGTGCAGTACATTGTGGGGCATGGCAGGCGAACAGCCCTCTGAACGCCCTTACCATTTTTTTGCGTTCACAGAACACACGAACGGCCGATCTTCAAGTCGAACTTATGTTTGACTCGAACATCAAGCCCAACCCTAATAAGGACATTAGTTGTATACATTTGTGGATATAAATGTCATGCACATCACGTTTGCACTTTTTTTTCTATAAACTCCTTTGAATTTTGAGTAATAGATGGTGGAGAATAGCTGTTCAATTCTTAAGATACATGCACCAGGTACAGTATATTCTGGTAACTTGCACTGCTATCGATCAGTAAGTTTGTGTTCTTTGACTAATAATCCTACCACCCATCTGGTACATACTGGTATCTCTGTGGTCTAATATGGTTTGTAGCAGTGGACATTATGGGGTTGATTTACCAAAACTGGAGAGTGCAAAATCTGGTGCAGCTAGGTATGGTTGCCAATCAGCTTCAACACTTCAGCTTGTTCAATTAAGCTTTGACAAAGAAAATCTGTGTACCCAAAGAACCCCCAGTGGGACTTTAATGCAGCAATAGGATCACACATATATTGGAAGAGAAAATATTTGGTTAAAAAAGATGTTTACAACTTTATTACATACACATTTCCATTGTAATACTAAATACATGATTTCTAAAAAGAATTTTGCTCTGACAGTATTCTTACAAGAGAACTCAATACAAGAATATGAAACCACACAGAAAAAGAAAGAAAAAACACTGTCGCGTTTCGAGCATTCCACATTCTAGATCTTCCTCAGGGCGCATGAGAGACAAAGGACTTTCTAGTAGATATATAAGCAATGATAAATGAGTATACCAAAAGAAATAAACATATAATGAAAAAAAATATTTTTTATCACATAACCAAAGAATTGTTTACTTACAAAAACATATGTCAGAGCAAAAGAGAGGATGTCTTCCAAGATGAAAGGCTGGACACCATGTTCTGGTGGGGTGCATCATTCAAGAGGGCAAGAGTGGTCAGATGTAAGTCACCAGACAAGGATTGACAGAGGGGCATCAAACCATCCCCCCAATGGGACTAAAGATGGTATAAAAAACAGAATATGTTAAATTCCAAATTATCAGACCAAAGGGACATACCTAATAAAAGAATATGCATTCAAGAATAGTCCATAAAGGATATATCAAGAGATGAAACTGACCGTGTCTTGAGCAGGCCAATGTATGGAACAAATAGAATTTCACTCGGTAATGGATGTAACAACTCAAGAAAATTGAGTGGTAAATTTGAGATATTAATTGCTCCAAGGAATGGAAGTTTGTCAAATCCCATGGAACAAAGACCAAACTGGCATGTAAGACTGTGAAAGATCCAAATATTATGTAGACAATTAACGGTAATAGCCAATTGTAGTATAAAAAAGAACTATACATTAACATTATATATTAACAAAATCATATGAAGGAAAGAATAGAAAAATATATCCCAATCACTAATTGAGGGGTATAAATAAATAATTTATTGTAGTGCAACAGCAATTATTATCAATGCTGGTCAAAAAAAAAAAAGAGCCACCTGATTATGAAATATATGATAATAGAGAAACAAACAAAAAAAATTCTTGCTCACTAAGTCTGCAAGAAAGCACAAAAAAGGTGCTGTAGGGAACAAATCCTCCAAATCCCTAATAGGCAAAAGAGATGGTGAGCCACCATTAGTATAAATTACATCCAAGTAATTGGCTATAGATAAGGCAAGTCAAACCATGCGGCCATGGAGAGATTTAACCAGTATATCAAAATGGTAAACTAAGAATGAAATCAGAACAAGCCATATATGCATTAAAGTAATCATCCATGGTTGCAACTATTTGCTTTAAAGC